ATAATGAAAATCCCATGATCTATTATCGGTGCTCTTCATCTCTGCTCGCTCCTTTAATTCAATTTGAGGCCCTGGGTCGCGGACGTTGTTTTGTTATAAAAACAACAAAACCAGCATCAGCGAGAAAGACGGCAAAGTTTTCAGCCTTAAGTTCAGCTGGAGCCCAATTCACCTCCAGTTTGTCTTTACCGGAACGTAAACAACCCAGTTATGTAAAAAAAAAAAAAAAAATACTTTTGACTTACTTTAAAGCTCCCAGTAAAATGTATGCGTTAATTTGCAAAGAAAGGTTTTAAATGTCATTTTCTATTCGATGTCTAATTACAAACAGCAAAGATAATTGACATACTTGTCGTTTAAGAGTCGCCTCCATATGAATGATACAGACTATATACGTTATTAGAGCTGGGTATTTATTATGAACAAAAATAAAATAATATAGCAACATATTAACAGTTGACAAACAGCACTCCTCGTTTGTATGGCTCATTTAATTGGAAACTCGCCTGCTCAATCACGCATGCGCCAAATTAACTTTTCGGTACACGTGATAAAAGTTCATTTAGACCTTTTTATTTACCGATTTGCCGTGTGTCCGCTGTGCCCAGGCCTTGCCGAAGCATCCAGATGTTTTTTTTTGCTGTGCGACATGTTTCCTGGAGATGGTGAGTCATGAGCCGGTCTGTGCTTCATTACGCTCGTCAGAACAGGGAGGCTTTTATCGCGACAGACTGAGCTTTCATAACAGAGCATTTCATTCCTGTTTGCGGGCTACTGTGCCGAGCGAATCCCCTCATTCACCTGTCTGTCTCCAGTTTGGCGTGTTTGAATAATGCGGTTGACCTGCTGGGATGCCGGAGCTCAGCTTCCACCTGCGTCCACCTACTGGCCTTCTGCTGCTCCGGTCACTGTGGAAGTAGAGTAACACTTGTCACACTCAGTGTTGACGGTGCAGCCATTAAAAGTCTGTGTGTCTCAGCTGGCAATTTAAATGCCAAAAGAAAATGCTCTGGTGTGTCATTTCTAATGTGCGGCTGATGGATCTTTCTTGCAGTTATGGCTCTAATTTGATCCGAGTGTTGATAGAATTTGTATTTGCAGTGATTTGATCTCCTAATTTCAACAACATTTAGAAAGTTGACTGTCAAGCAGCAAGCGGTATAAAAACAGATATAGATAAACAACTTTCATTATAATTTTATTAATAAATGCCATGTTCACACAGTGGAGTATGAAGTGTTTTGGTTTGAAGATCACTGGTGGGTTGATGGACTCGAGACACTTTTGCTCAAAAGCTTGCTGGAAGCCGTTGTTTTTTAAAAAAAAAGCGACATTCTGCTGAAGATTCTTTATCTCTCCGTTACCAATAGTTGCCAGCTTGTGTGACTCTGCGACGCCTCGTCCGAGGTCAGGCGGAGGACAGCAACCCCACTTCCCATTTTTTCCAAACATCAGCCAAGCCTTCCCCCCTCCCCTCCCTCCCTCCCCATCGCTCCATAGAGCAGTTTGAGCTTCCCAGAATGCACCTCTCCCAGCCGGCCGACCCCGGGGTCGGCGGCTGTCACTCACAGCCTCCGCCGGCTCTGCAGCTTCTGGACGTGGAGCGGAGGATGTGAGGGAGGCCTCTGAGAGGAGTCCTGGCTCTGCAGATGGGATCATCTCTGTGCATTCATGGCCGGGTAATTAAATTAGCTATCCTTCTCCTATTCTAATGCAAACCTCAGGTTGAATCGCCACCCTGTACGTGAGAGGAAAAGCCCCAGGCAGTGACAGCCAGACAAAGACAGCCATCTTGCATAAAGTGCTGAGCTGTTCTTCCTTTTAAACTGCGTTATGAATAACCTCCCCATCTTCTTACTCGCGTTTTTGCTGAATGACAAACATTATTCACTGGTATAACACAAATCTAAAGTTTGAAGGCCTCAACTTGTTGTGCTCTGGTGCCAGCCTAAGTCCCTTAGCTCATGCTATGGGCCTGTAGCTGATATTTCCACGTGTGTGTCAGACAGAGGATATAAGGTGTCACAGGTTGCAGTAAAGCAGGCGGGGAGGATGTAATGGAGGCAGGGGTGGAAGTGACTCTTTAGCCTAAAGGCTGCATGGTGTGTAGTGAGAGTGCAGGGTCACCTTTATCCACGCTGTCTGTGCCCAGAGCCGCTGCTGGTGGTGTGTGTGTGTGTGTGTGTGTGTGTGGGTGTGGGTGTGGGGGGGGGTGGGGGAGGGAGGAGAGCTGGAACTCCAAACAGGCTGAACTGATTTCCTTTGCAGGGTCATGCCCAGGACAGGCCCGCTCGACAAAGGTTTAGGGGCCACGGGGAGCAGAGAGTGGTGCTGGTCATGGTGTAGACAGCGCTTTCTGCCATTTCCGTGCTTTTAACCACCAGCCTTCTCTTTGGAATGGGCCAGAGAGAGAGAACATACACACACACCTCGAGCCGCGGCAGGGTTCAGTCAAATTTCACATAACGTGCTTATTTGTTTGATGTCAGTGAGATATATATATTTATTTTTTTTATGCGATCCTTTCACTGTATGTATGAACATATTCTCCTTCTTTTAGTCCAATTAAGCAAGCCAGACGTTGACTCAGACACTTTGATACATATAACATACCCACAATCCTCTGCTTCTTACGAACGCTTGGTGCCATATTCATATAAACACTGTTACCTGGGGCAGCTCAGAGATCACAGCCCATACGCTTTTCCTCTTGCCCACATTTCTGGGATGCATTTACTCAGCTGGGTTTGGGAATTCAGCAGTGAACCTCCACGCTACCCTCGGCAACAGAGGACAGGCTTGTCATGTATGTTTTAGAAACACATCGAGCACGTACATCTCCAAACGCGCACACCGCTTTAACAGAGTTATTAGGTCTGTGATGGTGGTCAGAGTTTGGTCGTCCCCGGCAGCAGCAGGCCGAGGTTTGCAGGGAGGCACACACTCAGAGAGTGGGAGGGTAAAAGGTGACACGGTGGCTGTAATTAACATGATAGCGAGGTTTGTTTTAGGCCGTTTGCATGACTGGCCTGCACATGTTAATCACAGTCATGCTGCTCATAAATGTCATTACTCTTTACATGTAAGGACACTAATCATTTTAAACTTAGAGGGGCCCTTCATTTCCACTGAAGCAGCCATGTTTTTGCAATGTGTGTCAAGATGAAGATTAGAAATCGTATTACGTCCTTGGCAGTTGCATTTTTATTCTCCTCACACTGGAGAATCAGAAAGAATAATTTAAATTTGAATTATCAGTTGATTTGCTGTTTAACCTTGATTTTGCTCCATTATTAAATGTTTTCTCTTCGCAGAGTCCTGTAACGTGAACAGTGGACGAAAATGGAATCAAATGGCGCTCACGAGGCCTCTCAGGCCAAATGGACCTCGTGTTTATACACTTGTCCATCAACTGAGCAGCGTGCGGCCTCGAGTATCCAGAGAGATGATGAGATGGCCCCGAAACCAGCGGCACCAAGTCTGAAGCCGGTAAGTGCGCTGTGTTTGGTTGAGGTTTGTCTAGATCAGAGATAACATGTCAGTATCAAAAGCCCTTTCTTTAAATGCTGAATCTGAGTGCATTTCGACAGTTTGACAGTGAAAGGTACGGAGCAATAACTTTTCTGTGCCTCGGAAAAAGCACGTTGCTCTGCTTTTGTTTAAGACTTGGATATAGGTTTTTATTATTATTATTTTAAATATTCAATCAGTTGGTTATAAAATGTTATATATGAAACAGGAAAAATGCTTTTAAAGCTGAGGGAAATGTTGGGAATAAGTAGCAGTTGTCAAAGCTGTCGAATGCTTTGACACTGATGATGATTTAAGGCATTCAGAATAATTTGATGAGAGCACTTAATCAGCTCCAACATGGGGTCTGTGGACTGAGCTACATTTACACAAAAAGTCCTTGTCCAGGGCTTCAGACTCTCATCAGTTACTTCAGTTAAAACATTATTTTAATAAACATGATTATTTAACTTATATTTTCATTATTGTTGCCTGTTAGTGATTGATTTTCCTCTTTTGTTATTGTTTAAGTTGAGCAAAAACGTTTAGTTTAGTGCCACCAAAACATTTAAACTTAATGATGAACTCTGTTAAATATCTGTTTTATTTTTTGAGGAATTAAAAAAAAAAGTTTGTTTCTTAGGCTGTCAAAAACAAAAGCAACGGGAAAATGTGCCACGGTGACAAAGGAGGGATAAACTTTAGAGACTTCTGTGAATTTTCTTTAGTTGATCGAGATTTTCTTTGACGCAGTTTGGAAATATTTGCGGCGTGTTTCTCCTCTCCCGATGGCCGCACACATACGTTTGGGCTTTTCAAACTAATGTTGTGTTATCTATCCATTTTCTTTAACAATATTTGAAAAAGCTAAATGTCACAAAAGAGCGCTTCTCCTCCTTTTTGGGGTTTTGAGTGTCCTCTGCGCGTAAGTGAGGACGCAGTCCCCCTGAACCCTTTGAGAGCCGATTTGTGCGTAATTTAGGTATAAAACAGCCATATAAATTCTCTTTAATAATTATTCGAGGAATGAAATAGACTTTTTGACTAAAAGAACGTGTGTTTGCACATCGCGACTGCGGCCAACTGTGTCGAATGAAATATGAAGAAAAAGAGAGGGCAACTTAGCAGCATGAAAATGTAAACTGAACAAATAAACTATATCAAATGTTCTGCAGAGTTTTCTGAGCTTGTGTGAGCCCGCTGTCTCTCCTGCTTGATCTGGTGATTAGGCCCGTAATAATATATGAAATAGGAATTAAATGGTTAAGTGGAAGGACAAGAACCACCCCTGATTGAATTTTTGGCGGATTATATCAGACTGTTGGAGACATACGTGCGCCACAAACACGCTCAGTCGCTCTCTCTCTCTCACACACACACACACACACACGCGCACACATAGACACACACACACTCAGTGTCTACAACGCACACACACGCACCAGTCCCTTCGTTTCACGGGTTTTCATTTCTTATCTGTTAAATCCCACCCACTTGACATGAACGCTGAAGAGAGAGAGAAAAAAAAGTCTCCCTCTCAGTCGCCCACGCTGACAGCGCCCAGTCGCTGTTGTCTGAACTGCCTGCTGGAGCCGTGAGATGGAGACGGAGAGCTGTTTGCCTTTCTCTCCGCAGAGCAGCAGGAGGACGCCGGCCAACTCTCCGGGAGAGGATCACGGCGGCGGCTCCGGCTCGTTTCTGCCCTGCGACGAGCTGCAGAAGCCCCCGCACCTCCCTCCCCCCCCGCCCCTGTCCCACCGGCTCAGCCTGCGCGGGGACCTGTACGCCGCGGCCATGGGCAGGTTTGGCGACGCGGCAGCGGACTTTACGCACGGCTCCGCCGCCGCCAACCCGCCCGGGTCACCGCCCAAACACAGCAAGTTCCTGGACGGTTTGGATCAGGATCCGAAAAGCGGAAAACCGGTGTTTTATGAGAGCAGCACGGAGGGTAAGTTATAGGGCAAACGTGGATTTTTCTCGTTTTGTTTTTTGTACTTTTTAGGAAGTCAGATGAGTGGCAGATGAGCAAAACTGAGATGCACACACACTGAAGAACAGGATATTTTTTAAGTTGAGTTTTTAGTTGGATTTTAGGCTATCTGAAAATAAACTTTTTCTTAACTATGACCCTTAAGAGGAATTAAAATCTCTCAAAACGTCTTAATGTGGACCTCCTTCTGACCCAAATATTTAGGTTAGATCAGTAAATAATGGATGGAAAAAACCCATAGAGATATAAACAGAAGCTTTTCCAAAATAAGTAAAAAATATTTCTGTTCTATTTTCAAACTTTGGAAACATGTTTCAAAATTTGGAAATGACACAAAAGTCCAAGACTCCAAATGGTGGAGTAAAAAGCGCTGAAGCATTTTCCCCCTGAAAGGATTGAGGTTAATGATGATCCTGCTGAAAGCAGGGTGTGTCCTTAGATTACAGGTCAACCTATTAACATTCACATTGCCCTTTTAGCATTTAGAACATTTTCTTGCTTTTCCTGATCACTTTCTTTAAAGCAGAAGTGAGTAGGATTTGCTTAGCGGCCTGTGCTGGGATGCTGTTCAACATGCTGGAAAAATGTCCATCATGGGAAATGTACAACTGTGTATGTTGAACTGTAGCCTAGAGAAATTATGTGGTCTCTTATGTGTTTATTGGTGCAGATGATTCTGAAAAAGATACAGAGGATACCAGCGCTGATAAGGTCTTTGTGATATCTCTGTCCAGAATAATATACATTGGTTTTATTCAAGTTGATGCCAAAAACAACTTGTGGATGGGACAGAATCTTTTGACTAGAATTGTTTATGATAATGAGAGCTTTGAAACTGGGTATTAAAAAATGTGTTTCAATTAAATTCTAGTTAGGGTGTTTTTCCCTTTTTATTTATTTCTTTTTATTCTTCATACAGCACATGCACACAAGGTTTCTCTAATAACCGCTAAGAGAAAGCTTAATTTATTTACTCATTTATGACACCAAGTGTGGGGTGGAGTTTGCCTGTGCGGAATAGATTTTGTGTGTGTTTCTGTGTGTTTTCGGGCTTTGTGCGCAAAGGGTTCCAATTAATGCTGGTGCAAAAGCGAAAAAACAACAGATTGTAAAATCCATTTTGAATAGATATGTAAAATCAATTCTTTAATTGTAAGCAATTTAATTATACCTTTTTCTGCTTATGTTCCCACCAAAACGTCTGTCTGGTGATAAATAAAGCTATGCTTTTTAAAAAAAAGCTTAGCCTCTTTTGACAAATGGAATCTGGGAATATTTTATTTGAGCATTATTTCAATGTTTTATTTTTTGTTGCTATTTTCATTCTTTACGCAATTTTATTATAAGTGGATATAAGTATTTTACATCAGAGTTGTATTCATTTACTGTTATGTTGAGTATCTACAACAAGACATTCTTGTGACCAAATTTCACCAGAAGCACATTTAATACATTTCTTAATCTATATATTCTGATGGGAAAATATTTGACTTGCTCTGTGATACACCGTGTTCTTTTTTTTTTGTTAGCATAAAAACAGACTTATTTGTACAATTTAGATTTTTTTTTAATGATGAAATTCAACTTTATCGGACACTTGAGACTATTATGACAGCCTGTTTTATTACATCAATTCTTTTAAAACAGTAACTAAACTAATAACAAATTAACATGACAAAAATAATGAATAATACATTTTAAAGGCAAGTTTACAAAAAGAAAAGAAATATAGAGGAAGCTCAATGTTATATCTAAGGTTCTGGAAGTGTTTTCAGAACCTTAGATTTAGACATTTTTTACTTTATCCTTCTTTGACTTTTCTGCATATCTCAGATTTGTAGTTAGACTGAAGTGCAGGCAGAGTTGATGTGAGGGCTTGTCAGGCAAAAAGCTGTTAATGTCCCGCTGATCTGTAATTACAACATTTGTCTTGGAGAACCAATGGAAACGACTAAATGAATGCTGGAACGATTTTTTTTTTGTTTAGTCAAGTTGTGAGCATTGCAGGGTAGTTTTCAGCTGCCCCCATTGAGTAAATGCCTGCAGATAGATGGAGAGCAGCTTTGGAGCGCAGGGTTAAATGTAATGAAGATGGACAACGACATCCAAACACTGCAGGAGGGAACTGCCCTCTCCGTGGTCTTTGAACAGGAAGGAAAATAATGCTCTCTTATTTCCCGCAGTACACAATGCAAAAAGGAGAATGTAAACCGTGAATTCAAACATCCACGTTCTTTAACAGACGTAGATTGTGCCCTTCGGTTTTCTCTGCCATTTATCCCATTCTCTTAGTTAAGTTTGACGTGGAAATTCATAATGTTCACATCAGGATTAGATGACCCAAACGATGTCTTTTCTTTATTATCTCAATCAAATCTTATGCTGCCCTGCAGGTTTAAATCAAGCCAGCTCAATGAGGGTTCATTGCCTAAATATGGCTTGTCTGGACTGATCTAATTAAATCAGACTTAGCGATGCTTGTGTGTGCGCTGTTTTTCTCAGGCATCTCAGGTTTAGCATTTTGGCTGTTTGAATATTAGAATTAAAGAAAAACAAGGAAACATTCACAGTTTTCAGTGAGATGAAATGCTTTTTTAATGTGATATCCTTTTTGTTAAGCGTGTTAGAACTGTCAGAACTAACAAAAGTGGTCAATTTAATTTGGAGCAACAGCTTTTCCTTTTTGTTGTAATTGACTTTTAGTTAAAAAAAATAGGTTTAATGTAGACAGGAATACATTTTATTTAATGAATTAATTTGACCTTAATCACCTCAATTAAATGTCTAGTTTTAGTTCGTCTTGTTGCTGCAAGGAGGACAATATGAGTTCAAGACAAACAAAAGGAAATGCATCACTCGAAAATTTGCCAGTTGAAACAAATTCCATGATGAAAGACAACTTGTTGAATGTCAGATGTCTGTATAGTAGTAGATAAAAATGATAGAATTAACTTTTTTAAAACATGCCTAATATCTGTTTTTATCTTTGTGTGGCTTTTGTGTGACTGTGCACCTCAGCCAGAGAGAAAGGAGCTCTTAAATCCTTGGGCTATCCGGGGATGGGCACAGACTGCTGTGGCAAGATGAAAGAGCCGGGCAGCGGCTTGCAGGGAGACTCCATCGCTGACTCTATCGACCTATCAGGGAAAAACAAGAAGCGGCGTAATCGCACCACCTTCAGCACCTTTCAGCTGGAGGAGCTGGAAAAGGTTTTTCAGAAGACGCACTACCCTGACGTGTACGCCCGAGAGCAGCTGGCACTGAGGACGGAGCTCACCGAGGCCCGGGTTCAGGTGCGTTAGGGCAATTTCCTCACATCCTTAATTTATGAGCAGAATAGTTTAATTTCCTGATGCAAAATGTGTTTTTTTTTTGTTCATTTGAAAGGTGTGGTTCCAGAACCGCCGAGCCAAGTGGAGGAAACGAGAGCGCTATGGCAAGATCCAGGAGGTCCGCAACCATTTTGCTGCTACATATGACATTTCTCTTCTGCCCCGTCATGACGCATACCAGGTAGAAAGCTGCAGGTCATAACAGAAACTACTTAGAGTTGAAAGCATTTCACTTTAAGAAAACTAAGCAAAATCCATCTGACTTTATGTGACACTGAGAGCATGGCACATCTCCATGTTTATCCCATCAGATTTCAACCGTTTCTTGTCCTAAATCTTTCTCCTACCAGATGCAGGGGAACCTGTGGCCCGGTGCAGCTTCAGCTGGAGGGGCTAGTTCAGGGGCTGGATGTGTTCTAGGAGCCGACTCCCTCCCCTCATCCTGCATGAGTCCATATTCTCACCCTCACAGCAACCTGCAGGGTTTCATGGGCATGCCCACTTCCCCGAGCCACCCACACCACCACCACCCTCCCCACCATCCCGGCATCAATGGCCTCTACTCACTCCACAGCTTCCCCGGAGGCCTCGGGCCCCCTTCCATCGAGGGACCGGACACCGACTACAAACCGACAGGCTTAGTGGCACTGCGTATGAAAGCCAAAGAGCCGGGCAGCATCCTCTCGTGGCCCACATGACCACCACAGTTCCAGTGGCCCATTATGCACTGACTGAGCCAAAACATATTACAATTGCGACTCCATACACAGTCCCAGATATACACACCCACCTCAGTATATGACTCATTTATGTAGACAACTTGAAAACTGTTCAGAGTTCAGAATATGTTGGAGCATTGGAAAACCGAGAGCAACTTGAGCATTTTACTCCAAAAATGGCATTTAGTTAGCTTTGTTGTTTTCAATTTTGTATTACAATGCTGAGGACAAACAAGAAAAAATTATTTAAGCATGTAAAAAGGTGTAATTATCCTATTAATCTTTGTTTTTATGTCTGCTGTGCTTTATAGTGTGACCAGTAATAAAGGCCAACATTTACGTCAACTATTTGATTATTCTTGGAAAAGGATATAGGAAGAGAAGGAGGTTAACAAAAACAATCTCAGCCAGACTAATTTTAGTCTTCACAGCACTCTTTGACCAAAAAAAAAGTAACATGGAATGTGGTTGTCATGCAGACATGCTTTGTTGGCTGTGTTTGTCATAAACAAAATTATTTCCGTGGTGCAAAAAATATCCAAAGAGACAGTAAATGTTTCAGTTTACAGGATATTTCTTCAAGTCCAATACTTAGGGTGGCCCATCATCTTCCAGTTCACAAGAGCAAACCGGATAGAGTGATGGCATGCACCAACAACCTTTATCACATTTGGTGATAAAGGTTGTCGGTGCATGGTGGGCCATAATTTGAGTCAGGCATTTCTCATTCAAGTCTGCCGTTGGTGCTTACCTGAACACATGAGAAGTGATTTACAGTGTGATTGAGGAAGCAAGACATTTTGTTGGGCTTTGTGATTCCCCTCAGACAGTTCCCTTTCTTCCTGGTTTTATTAAAACAAAATTATTCGTGTGTAAATATGACATGAATATATAACATACGTGGAATGTTTGGCCTCAAAAGACACCCATTTTCTTCCTTATCCTGAACAATTTACTGTCAGGAAAACATCAAATCACATAGTACCATCCCATCTGGTTTAAATAGTTAAGATGATAATATTCATGTCAAATGGGCAAACATGTCAATCTGTGTGAGATTGTGAGCACAGTTTCAACCATGAAAAAAGAGTTGGACAGCTCTCCCAGGAGTCTCCAAGTCTTTATGGACAAAACTTTCCTTTCTCTTTGCTTGCCTCACTATGACAGTTACACTCGGGGCGGATTAGCTGCTATTCCCTTGCTTTGTATTCAGTTTTGTGAGAGAAACATGTGGTTCCAATAGAGAAAAGCACAAACCCATCAGAAACACTTTCCACACCCACAGCTTCAAATTCCAGGCAGGCCCTGGGAGACGGCAGCTCTTACTGCAGTTACATAGTCCCCACTGATTAAATCCCAGATTAAGTGGAGGAGATAAGAAGAGCTGTCAGTTGGGATAAGGACTGGGATATGGCCATCTTAACAAAAGCTGAAAAAATAGCAGATGGTTGGTTGTTATTTTTTCCACAGGAGGAACAATTATATTAGTTCTTCACTCGAAAATAATGTAAAAACCCAGCAATTAACTATCTTCGATTCATTTATAAATTCCAAACGTTATCAAGAATTTGTTTTAACTCAAGACAGCATTCTTGCACAGTTGCTCAATTGGCTGAGAAATATGGTGAGGTTTAAAATAATTATCCCTTATAAGTTAAGGGAGCCATAATTTTTGATTAAGCTTCCATTAAAGTTACAATGCTGTGGCATAAGCTTTGATCTATACAGACCCAATAAATCAGGCAAAGAGGGGCGTACACTATTTGTCAAAAACAAAAGAAAAATAGTGAGTTAAGACTGCTAAAATGCCGTGGGCAGTTATTTACTGAGCATCACTCTGTCAGGGTTATTACATGAAGTCTATCATTACAGTCTGGAAGTTCCTAAGCCATTCAGCCTCATTAATGAATGAACATTTGATTTAATGCTCATTAAAACTTGCGTAGTTGCCTGTAGGTCACTGCTCTGTGCTTTGATCTCTACAGGATTTATTTACGTCTTAACTGTGCAGGTACTGTCTCACAAAGCTAAACAATGTGCTGGCACAGAGTGACCAGCTCTGCAAACGGTCAAAAAGCATATCTCGGCCTTGCTGGGTATTTGGCATTTCATTCAAAACATTTATTTAAAGTGTCAGGCCTAAGCTGTTTTGGGAGACCTGAGTCCTTAATTGAGAATACATATATTAGAGGTAATAGTTTTAACTTGATCTGCAAAACATTTTATTTAATTTATATCTTAATCAGAAGCCCTGCACAACAATCTTTGGCGTTTTAAGCTTCCTGCTACATCCTTTCAAACCTCTAAATAAACTTCTATTTTAAAACCAACTGATTAAAAGTTATATATCAAAATGTACAGCTGTCTTACCTTACATTTTTAGAGTTGCCCCTCAGATACGAATAGGAAATATGGGCACTTTAAGGATGTTCCAGTAATCTATGTACAGTCAAATGCACAACAGTAGTTTTTTCCACATGTCCCATAGCGAAAACATTTTCGAGGAAGAAATAAGAAAAGGCAGGGTGTTGTACTCTTTCATATAGAGCTCAAATACTGCCACCATGTGGTATTAATTCTTAGTGAAGGCATGAGGGCCATACTGTTTCTTGAAAGTAATCTTTTTCTTCCTTCGGAAAAAGACCAAAGTAGTAGGACGATGTAATACAAATACTTTTAATCAAGATCGTGGATGTGCAAAATAGCACATCATACTATCATCTAAGTAACTGTTTAGATCTTCCTCCATCCATCCATCACTTTTCTTCCACGTATCTATGGTTACGGATATATTAACACAATCAATAAGTAATCTTTTGTGTGGCCATATCAAAGATATACTTATTCACTGATTGGTTCATTGTTTGGTTTATTTTTAGTCCTTCATATTTGTCAGTGCTTTATTTATGTGTCTTTTTAGAATTCAACATACAAGGTAAGAGTAGTTAAAGATGAACATTCAGAGAACTTAAAGACGGCAACTCCAAGTGAGTGATTGACAGGTCCTTCTAACGTTTCCACCCCCTTTACAGCCAATCAGAGTTAGGGGGCGGGCGTTCACGCTAATCTTACCAAAATGGCGGCTGTTGTTGTTTTGCCGCAGGGTCAGTGAATAAATCCGTTTGTAAATTCAGTGAGTATCTGCAATACCTAGCAGAATTTGGACGCAAAACAGGCAAGTACCGCAACGCTTGACTCAGCGTGGGCTGAAATGAAAGGCAAAGAGCGGTCGCCGATTAAAAAACGCTCCCGGGCCTTGGACGATATTCGAGACAGGGGAGGATGCCACCCGACCAGCAAGAAAATGGGGGCTCTCTCCGTTTCCAGCGGGAGCAATAATGGAAACAATTCCACAAAAAGCGACGGCGGCTCGACGAGAAGGACTCTGCTCGGAGAAAAAAGAGACAGGGACTTCGACGGCCACAGCCGAGCTGGAAATAACCACAGCTGTCAGTCTGCCGCCGCCAGCTCCATTGGTAAAAACCACAGCCTGAGCCTGACGCTGGACTTAGCCTCGCCGAGGACCACCTCCCGGGCGGAGCAGCGGGTCCAGCCGCCCGGCGCGGAGAGTGAGTACAAAACCCTCAAAATCAGCGACCTCGGCACCCAGCTGAGCGACGAGGACATCGAGGACGGACTCTTTCACGAATTCAAAAAATTCGGCGACGTGAGCGTTAAGATCAGCCGCAGCAACGACGAGCGGATCGCCTTCGTCAACTTCAGGAAGCCGGAGGACGCCCGGGCGGCCAAACACGCCCGAGGCCGGCTGGTGCTGTACGACCGGCCGCTGAAGATCGAGGCGGTCTACATCAACCGGAGGAGGAGCCGCTCCCCCGTGGACAGGGACCTGTACGGCGCCGCTCAGAGCCACAGACACTTGCAGAGACCCCTCTCCCCCACCGGGCTCGGGTACAGGGACTACCGCCTGCAGCAGCTGGCCCTGGGACGGCTGCCCCCCCCACCGCCGCCCCCTCTGCCTCGAGAACTGGAGCGGGACAGAGAGTTCGCCTTGTTTGAAGCCAGGGCACGTCCGGCCTTCATCGCAGAGCGAGCAGCTTTCCGCGAGGAGGATTTTATATCTCCAGAAGATGACCAAAGAGCAAACAGGACGTTGTTTTTAGGCAACCTGGACATTACCGTTACCGAGGCAGACCTGAGGAGGGCTTTTGACCGCTTTGGAGTCATTACAGAGGTGGACATTAAGAGACCTACAAGGGGACAAACCAGCACCTATGGATTTCTGAAATTTGAGAACCTCGACATGGCACATCGGGCCAAGCTTAGTATGTCTGGCAAAATCGTGGGGCGAAACCCAATAAAGATCGGTTATGGGAAAGCGACGCCCACTACCCGACTGTGGGTGGGTGGACTTGGGCCCTGGGTTCCCTTAGCTGCTCTCGCCAGAGAATTTGATCGCTTTGGCACTATAAGGACCATTGACTACAGAAAAGGAGATGCGTGGGCCTACATTCAGTATGAAAGTTTAGATGCTGCTCAAGCAGCTTGGACACACATGAGGGGCTTCCCGCTGGGAGGTCCAGAGAGAAGACTCCGGGTGGATTTTGCCGACACGGAGCACCGTTACCAGCAGCAGTTCCTGCAGCCTCTTCCCATCCCGCCGTTTGACATGGTGGCCGAGTCATTTGTTCACCGGGCCACGCCTGAGCCTCTCAGGATCAGGGATCGGACTCCACCGCCGCTCCACTTTAGGGACCGAGAGCTCTTTCCCGGAGCAGAGTGGCCCAACCCGGCCATCCGAGAGCGCGTGCGGGCGTCGCCCTTCGAGCCTCTGGAACATTTAGAGCGGGAGCGGCGCACTCGGGAGCCGTGGTCTTTGGAGCGCGAGCTGCAAGCAAGAGAGCCGGCACGCAAGCGGCGTGTGCTGGAGGACGGACGCCACCTGGACCACTCTCCCGACAGCACAGAGAGGACAGTGAGAAGGAGGCGCACCTCCCCGGAGGGCAGCCCCGGAGGCAGCAGCAGAGATGGGGGGCGCTTCAGTGACTCAGAGCGGCCTTTGCGGGGGGAGAAAGCCTCTCCGGCAAGGGAACGCAACAGCAGCCTGGAAAGAGGCGCCGCTGAACGGAGGCTCAAAAGCCAGAGCCTGTCCGACAAGGGACCTTCGGCCTGCGCTCTGTCTGCAGCTGGAGAGCGCAAGCGCAAGGCAGGCGACGGCGGTAAAGGGCTCACCAAGAGAGAGCGCTCCGAGGGCGGCTCCAAGGGGGGCGTGCTGCCCAAGTCAGACGGCAGCAAGCTCAGTCTGGCGTGGCGTGGGATGCTGCTCCTGAAGAACAGCAACTTCCCGGCCAACATGCACCTGCTGGACGGCGACCACTGCGTGGCCAGCGACCTGCTTGTGGACAGCGCCACGGGCCGGCAGGTGAGCGAGCTGAAGATCACGCAGCGCCTGCGCCTGGACCAGCCCAAGCTGGACGAAGTGTCCCGCCGCATCAAGGTGGCGGGTCCCGGCGGCTACGCCATCCTGCTGGCCGTCCCCGGAGCCACGGAGGATACGTCGTCCGACCCCGCCGCCTCCACGCAGCGGCCGCTACGCAACCTGGTGTCCTACCTCAACCAAAAGCAAGCAGCTGGAGTCATCAGCCTGCCCGTGGGAGGGAGCAGAGATAAAGACAACACAGGGGTCCTTCATGCTTTCCCCCCATGCGATTTCTCCCAGCAGTTCCTGGATTCCTCTGCCAAAGCTCTGGCAAAAAGCGAAGAGGACTATCTGGTCATGATTGTGGTTCGTGGTGCATCTTAAAAAAAAAAAGTCACAATGCACTAAGTTCAGTTGGAATCTATAAAAAGAAGAAAAAAAAAATCTGCTGTATGTCAGTAATTATTGCATGCTGTGTGTTCTGCATCATGGGGTACAGTAGTATGGTTCTGAGTGTTTGTATGTTGCCATGTATGCCACTGAAAGGACAAACAGTGCCCTCTCATAAAACGAAAAGGTTGTGCGACATTGAAAGTAACTTTTCAACGGGTGTGTGAATTTGATCAGCCACAAACCAGCTGTAACTCAGACAGTTCTGTGAAATGGTTCATTACAAGGGATATTTTAAGACTTCTGCTTGAGCGGCTCCAGATCAGTTAAATATCAGAGTCTAGACGTTACACAGACACGATTTTGGTTCGTTTGCAGGTTCAAAATGTTACCGCTCCTCTTATACTAAATTACACAAATGCATGTTGAACCTGCAGGCTTTTTACGCAATAACACCTCCATTATGACTAAACCTACAATTTCTGGTGTTGAAGCAACATCTGTTCTGTTTTGAGTAAAACAAAGCCCTCTTTAGAAAGTCCTGTTTGTTTTTGGGTGACTGTGTGTTATCACCTCAGCGTGTGCTGCTGGTGTTATTGTGATAGCTTCCCCTCTTGGTAGCACACAATAGGATTGAAATGACTACCTATTTGAAAGCCTTGACTTACAGTGCTGTAAACAAGCTTCAAAGCGTTGACATTTTTGGGGGGCAGAAACAAAGGTGAGCGAGACATTTTTGAGCTCACGGTATTTATTGAAGGTATAATGAACAATCTCTCTGGTGGGAGAAACCAACATACATTACACAGCTTTCCTTTATTTTACAGGAGTGTGCTTTTTCCATTGAGTTCCCTATCATGGAGTATCCTATTTCAAATTCATTTTCTTTCATGGGGGATATATATATATATATATTCTGTAAAGAAGCTCTAAAGTTAAAGGGGAGGGACCCACTGAAAAAGCTGTGCAATGTATTTTGATTTAACTCGCTATGGAATGCATGTTTTCAGTGTCAAAAATGAAAAAAGAAAACAATGTGAAGGTCACAAAGTTCCAACAGGTCAAACATTTCAGTCACTTAAAAAGAAAATTATTTGAGTTGGGTCTGAGTGTTTTTGTATTGTGTTACTTAGCTGGTGGTCAACTCAAGTGCGTGTCCACAGACAAAACCTAATTATCTTTATCGACTATGTGTGGACTCCTGAATACTAACAGATGGGACACTTTTGCCCAAGGGCCAACCCAAAACATAATACAGGAAGCCTAGTAAAGCAAACGCTAACGCCGTTGTCATATTGTTTACCTTTTATTTTAATTTAGTGCATCCCTTTTATTAGAAATGGTTGTGCATTGTGATCTATGATAAACTACATTAGTTACGAACAAAGAGTTGAGGATTTTGTGTTGATATTTGAAAGGTTTTCCCATTCTCTCCCCCTCTTTGATACAAGTAGTTCCTGCAGTAACAAAATCGGTAAAATGCTGGTACAGAGCATCAAACATGTTATTTGTTCATCTTAAAGGTTTTTGGCATTTTATGGTTTTAGATGTACTTTAACAGCAAATATTAAGAGACATTTTAGAGGTCTAAATTTAACAGTATTTCACTCATGCTTGCCAATATCTATCGAAGGCCTACTGACCCTATATTGTTTAGCCATTGTTTGTTTGTCATGCCGTAGCAACTCACTCTGAATTATGATTTGCTCACTCTGGTTTGATTTGTATTGACGACACGTCTGTGGCGAACCGTTGTACATGTGAACATCACTCCCACTGAAACTTTGGACTCCTGAGGAGACGAGTGCGGAGCTGCAGGAAAAAGGCACCCCTAGTGTTTGTGAGTCCTCACTGATGAGGCAGCTTTTAAGTTGTGTAGCCCAACTCCTCCTGTGATGACTTCTGTTTTAAATGGAAAATTGAGCAATGTACGCTTTGATGTCATGGGACAGGAAAATCCATAGTGCCCATGCGAAGCTGTTGACATACCTGCAAGTGCGTTTTGGGCACTCAATGTGACCGAATATCAATAAATTGTTCATTTGAAGGGAAACGTGTTTCTTCGATGGAAGTGAATTGAAGAAGCAAGCTGCCGTGCCTTATTGTGTTTCGAAAAAGGAATTGTCACATGAAATGTGCTTTCTCCTCACAACAGGGGAGACAGTTTGCGAAAAGCCTTTAGCTCCAGTGAGGAGACGCCTGTGTTTGTGAGGATCGCTCTTTGCTTACGTGCCCACTCTGAGCTCCTGAAAGTTGCCCCCCCCCCCCCGGGGGGCGCTTCATCTCCCCCGACTGTTTGGCGTGGGCACGTGAACGCCTGATCAGGATGGAGGAGCCTCCGCTCTCACGCTGGCTTTGCAGCCAGAGTCCAGTTCACGGTCCAAACTGTGGCAGGTGTCCTGTTGTCTGCTGTGATCTTTACTCGAAACCCCCCCCCCCCCCCCTTTTCGCGCCCTTTTTTCCTGGTTCCGAATAGGAGGCCAGGGGAAACTCATCACTGGCCGTCACGCGCTCCAGTGGGGGGATTGAAGGTGACACGACGCTGAAATTCCCGTAGCGGCGACAGTTCCCGCTGTCTCTGCAGAGGCCGCCGAGCCGCTGGGCTCTGCTGTCTTTATCATACTTTGGCCGGTAACAAGTTTGATTTGACTTAATGTTTCAGGGAAGAGGATTGGCTCAGACATCAGCTAGGAATATTGTTTTGTGTTCTCCTCCGATTGAGCGCTCTCTGAGGAGACGAGGGAAGCAGTGTGTTTGCTGTTCATCTCCATCTGATGTCCCGCAGAATGGAAATGAAATACAAACAGGCCACTTTTGTTTTTACGCCTTCTGCCACCGCTGGAAGGAGCCCCAGCAGCGGACCACGCCCATCTCTAAAGTTTTTGGAGGAGCCCCGAGCATTTACTCGCTTCTATTACAAGTTTAAGACCTCCTTACGCAGGAGATAAAAGTTTGCCATCCACCTTAGCCGTAGTAGTGCGAACACAAACGCAGCGTGGCGCTGAGAGGGACGCCTTGCTCCGCCTGAGAAGCGCCGAGGACCCGGGAGCGCCTGCTGACCTCTCTAGCTGACCTCCGCCTGACTCTGGCCAGGGCTGGTGTGTTTGCATGCCTGCTGTACAGACGCAGCATGATGGTGAGTAGGATGGACCAGGGCTGCCTGCCATGACTGTATTGGTGGCTTTGGCAGCAGGGGTGAGTATCCAGAGTCCACACCACATGTTGTCTAATCCAAAATGCCCAATTCTCTCCTGTTATTGGCTAAAATTGAAGTGTAAGTACTTCGGCTGATGGGAAAAGGTCATATTCTAAAGCCACCTTGAGATATCTGGAGCATTTTGTTTTCATTCAGTGCAGTATTGTGCACAGTGTTTGAGTGCCGGCTGAGTGAAAATCATTATGTCAAGTCATACATTTCAAATCTAAATTGATTTTTTGAATAACTAAATTTACATTTTTATGATAAGGTGAAAACAGGCTGATAACAAAAGTTGATATCAGGATGGAATAAAAAATCCAACTGAATCTGATGTTGAATCTTCAGTTGTGTTTCACGCCAAAAAACATCTATTTAGTTGTTCTCCTTAGTTGTAGGTCTCATTGAAAAAGGATGCGTAATGGTGTTTGACAACAGGGAAAATAATGGCCACAGACTTTTGGACAGGTGGTCATGCGCCCAATGGGGAAACTGATGAAGATCGAGTGAGAACATCCTCATCCTTTCAGAGCGGGGTGAAAACTGGCTTAAAGCTGTGCTGGTGATGCTGTAATGTGCATGTGGTCACATGCTGTGCTGAAATAGAACTCAGAGGAATGTTTATTTCCATTTTCTGTCATTTGTATACTTATTTGAAACTTATCTTCAGATTCCTGAAATGTTTTAGTCCACTGCATTTATTTGGAACTTTTTCCTACATGTAAAGTCACTCACCTAATCAAGGACACCAAAGAAATTATTATCAAAGTTAATAAAGTTAAACAACGGCTTCAGATCCCCGGGGATCTGTTATGGCCCCACACAGCATTGTGTGACCACAATCCTGTTATATAATTCAATCCTGCTACTTTGCCAGGTCTTTCTCTTTATTCAAACACTTAGACTGTTAGTCTATTTCTCCAGTTCTGCTACAGTGTTGATGATTCAAGCTTTCACCACCCAAGCCTTCTCATGAGAACAAAAAAGACATGAACTTCCAGCCAGTTATTAATTCTACCCAAAAGACAATGCTAACATGTTTTTTCTTCTAGGCTGTACGTGCATTCAGGCTGCTGCTGTGTCAGGTAAAGTCATTGAGGACTAATGATTTATTAGTAGTTTAAGAGGCTGTTCAAATGTTAAAGAAGAAGACGTTTAAGGTTTTGATTTCTGGAGAGGTGCCATTTTCAGAAAAAAAACTGCATTTCACACCATCCCAAAAATGGTAAAAAGCTGAAAATAATGCTCATTCTTGAAATACACAGATTATTTTCGGACACACATCACACATCACCAACACCATTGGTGTTAAGACATAATGGTTAGATCAGTGTTTTTCCTACTAATATGTTTTAGATTCTTGGGCAAAGCAATGGACAATGCACTATTTAGCAGCACAATTCAGTTCAGGACACAAATCACAACAACACATAGGACATTAAGAGGGCAGCCTTTTTTTCTTTTTAAATAATTAATTACACTTGTTCACTTCATCCATGCTGACTGCTTGTGATGGAGATTTTGCACAAGTGCTGATATAAATTAGGATGTTTTCCATTTAGTTCTTTCTTTTTGCACACTTCATTAATTTAAGGGGGCTAAAACAGACATAATTCAAAACTGACTGTATTCTGTCAATGTTTTTGTTTTCCAAACAGAAATCCTCCGGACAGGAGGGGGCTCCCAGGACAATGGACTTTCTTCTGGTGTTGTGTCTGCTTTTGTAAGTAACCTGATCGTTTTTTTAACACTTCTCAATCTGAACAACTCCAACACGTGGAACGTTTTAAAGTGGAAATGGGGAAGCTGTTTTTTACACTGACGTTAAAAGAAATGGGAATTATCTGTTACATTTGGTGACAATAAACAATGTTTAATTTGTTGTAAAAGTTGTGTGTTTTTTTCTTACCTTGTCCGAATATCTTCTGAGTTGACTGAATCACACAATAACAGACAGAGTCACACGTCAGTTTATTACAGCTGACATGCGCACTATTACAAAGCAAAACAAAGAAAAAGAAAAATAAGAGAGATTTCAACTGTCCTGAAACAGAATATCTATGATCAGTTAAGAATATTTTCTAAAGTCGATCCATTAACAAATCCAAGAACAAGAGCATGGACCAAACATTTTTTTCCCCCAATTATGCAACTGCTGCCAAAAAAACAAAAAAAAGCAGAAACAAAAAGATCAAATACCACCAGAAATCCACCAGTTCTTCATCACCGCCAAAATTCCCATTAATATTAGTCCTTCTGCTTAGTATTACTAAGCACACCCAAAACCACTAACAAGTAAAATGATTTTCTAACCAAATCTACCTTTAAAGCATCAAATTCTTAGAATAAAAGAGTTTAATGGTACAAAAGCTTCAGTGGCTCTAAATCACAAAAGCATACGGGTGGTGAATGCAACTCGTGAGCCAAAAGAGCCTTTGTGCATGACTGTCGTTATAGAAACAGTACAAAGAGCCTTGGGCATTATTGTGAAAGCGAGTTGAGCGGGAATAATTTGGTGCTAATTGAGACAACATTCTCTGAGCAGGAGGTTTCTTCTGCCAGAAGAGGGCAGCACAACAAAACACATCACTAAATTTTGGCCAGTCCTTAAGGAAGACCAGGAAAATGCTGGAAAACGAGTGTTCAGAGTGGATTCGGTTCTATTCACTGTCCATGCTACTCCAACGGTAAAAGGTTTCAAGTTGAAGATAGGTTTCTAATGTGATCTTTGGCTGACAATTCAGGAAAGTTAGTAAAAGATACATCACCTCATAAGGCAAACAGTGGTGAAAAATAAGGAACTTATTGAAAACACAAAAAATTGCTGCAATATAAAAAAGACTCGACAACCAACAGACTCCCAAGTATAAACATTATAACACTGCAAGTTTGCCTTGCCAGGAGCAGGCTGCTTGCAGGCACTGTAAAGTCTGAGCAACAGTTTGAAACAGTCCCGTTGGGGTATATGGTCAACAATACACCAGCAACACGGCTGGTCAGAAATTTACAGACATACGGTGCTGACTAAATAGTCACACGTAACAGCGCAGAAAAACCCTACGATTCATCTCCCCCCACTGCTCCCCAGTCCAGCTGTGATCAAAATATGTAGAAAACATTGAAACAGGCGTCCTCTCTTGGGAGTTTGTGTAGTTTCAAAAGTTCAAACGAGTGAACGTTGATAAAAAGAAAATAAGTGTTTGTGTGCACTTGCATAGAAAAGCCAAAGAGTTATGAGCAAGGCATGACCATTTTCTCATAAGCTGGTGTGCTGGGGTTAAAGATTTCTTTAAGATGTTAAACATACGATTGGACATAAATACCAAATGTGTTTTGTTTCTTACTGAGGTAAAAAAAAAGAAAGGTAACAAAAAAAAATAAGGAAAAACTTATTAAAGTGCAAACATTTCCACAATGTTCTCACTTTGTGCACAGGATTAATCACAGAGTTAATTACAGCTGTTTCCGAGTATTTAAATGAGCATTTGTAGCATTATATAGTAAAAATACATCTGAACTGTGAACAATGAAGCATGTTTTTTTTTTTAGATTTTTTTTCTTTTTTTTTTACTGATGTGTTAATGTTGAAGTGTTGTTACATAAGCAGTAACAGATGTGGTTCACATCAGAGTAGTTCGGTATCCTTTTGAGGACAAGAATCCGGTAAAGTGTCAGGTGCTCCTGCAGTGATATATATGCAGACAGCGGTCTAGATGTCGGTTTAAAAATAAGAGACGAATGCTGGAAAGCCCACAGCTGAGGCATTAGCTGACATGTGCACACTGCGTGGGGCTACCTCATGAGAAAGCAGAAAGTCCGAGTAAGTGACTTTAAGTCGGTGCAAGTTCAGCGTAGGTGTTCGCTGAACTGCCAGTGACTGTGCTTAAATCCCCCATGTGAGCCACACATTCAAACGTTTGGGCTCTAAGACAAGCTCTAAATTTAAAAGTGTGATTCTACAAACGCTGGCAAAACTGGGCAAACTTCAACGAGGAAGAATAGTGTATTTTTTTGGACTAAAAGGAAAATAAAGGGGTTCACAGAAAATGCTACGACGGAAATAAATCAGCCCACATTCTTGAGGAAAAAGTTTGAAACAATGTAAGGATTCCTAAAAATGGGAACCAAACACTGATAGCACTGATTGGTGATTCTGTATCCAAAGTTTGTTATCACAGTTTCTTAAACAAAAGTATCCAGATTATTAGTGTGAATACACAGAAAAACCAGCGGGTCAGTGTGTACCGTCGACAGTTAAATGCTCACACATGCCTACAATAAATCGAAAAGATACATTTCCCATTAAACTATGTAAGCTACTGTGTTTTTTTGGCTTCATATGCAGGATTACACGTTGTGTCATAGGAGCAGGCAGCATTAAAATGGTTGCTCAGTATGTTGAGTACCTGGCAGTTACAGATCAGATCAATAACATCATGCAGCAGAATCATAACTTGGCCAAAAGTGGGTATCGGTGGGCACAGGTTTACAGATACTGGTAAAGGCTTCCCTGGACAAAGGGATGTGGCATTCCTTTTCATGGATATGGACCTCTGTTTAGGTCCAAATAGAAAAACTGGTTTAAGACAGGATTTTTAAGAGATCAAGCGCAGAGCTCAGGCTCTCGCAGTATGTTGTGCACTGATAGTCCAAGCAGTTTTGTTGAAGCACTGGGAACCATTTTGTTTTTAGTTCAATAAATTATGTACGTACGGATTGGCTTCAGGTGTGAAGAAGATATAGGGGATGGAGGGGGGGGGGGGGTTTTGGAGAGCATATGAATTTTTAGCAAATTCTGCACGATTAAATGTTCAGACTATTATATGATTTTGTGTTGTTGTTGTGACGCTGGTATCACGCTCCAGTTTAAAAGACTGATCAAGGTCCTGACTTGAAACTGGGCTCCATGAACAAAGGTATGCAGGTCTGTGGCCATGAGCATGTTGGTTTAGGATCCATCCCTGGATTTCGTTCCTACACAGCGCCGTTCTGCAGGTGGTCAGGGGTAAAGCATCCATTAGTCTTACAGCTGATTTCTGCTATCTTGGTCTGGGACAGCTTTTTCCTGGCCTTCCAGCGCTGAGCTAGAGGCTCCAAGAACAGGGAGAGGGAGGAGAGGAGATAGCACAGTCCGGCCAGGTAGAAAGAACAATCATAAGTCTGAGTGTAGTCGTACAGGAACCCTGAAAAACATGAGCAGCACATCAAAAATGTACATGAGTGAAAGTTTGTTTTTCATTTTACCAGTATATTACAGAAGATCAGGATGGACACCAAACAAAATTATTGATAAGGTTAGCAGTTATAGTTTTAGTGACTTAGAATAACATAATTTCGACATATATATACGTGTATATTTTAGCTATGAATTATTTTCAAAAATGCACCAAAGCTCCAAATTATGTGGTTTCTTGTCAAATTTTGTCAGTGTATCTTAGGCTTTCCCTACTGTTTTTAACAGAAAAAACTGAAAAACTGGATGTGTTGTGCATACTGGGACCAAATGTTTCCCATTAGACGTAGAAAAATAATTTTCCTCAAAGTAGCCAAGACACTCAAAGACAGCAGTTTTACTGTGACTGAGTGTGTTTACCATGAGGACACATGCATAGTAAGACCTGTGTTTAGTGTTCCACATACTAATAAGGACATCAGAGTTAAGTAGTTAGACATATGCTATTTCTTTGCTGACCAATTACGTGTAAAAAGTACGGCCAAAAAAAGGTACTAAATTAGAAACTGCTCTCTAGGACTGGCAAAGGCAAGCTGCCATCAAAACAAGTCATGCCCCCTCTGAAGAGTCTGACAGGACTGACTTGAAGGCAGGATGAAATCTGACCCAATAACCTCTGTGAGCAAACCCAAACTTCCAGTGTGCCCAGAGGGCAGCACTAACAGCGTTTCTTTCTCTCCTGTATGTTTTCATTTTCACGCTCCACAGCGGCTATACACACAGACACACACACACACACAGGTAAGTACAGGCTCAGGTACATTAGGGAATTCAGGGCACAGTAAAGGTATCTGCTTCCAGCCCACTCCGGAATGAAGCCTGCCAAACACCCCACTACATCTACGCTTTGAGCTCGAGGGAAATAACACACACACACACACACACACAGAGACATGCCCAAACGTTGCCTGTAACAAATCATTCAAAAAGAAATGTGTCGGCATGTCAGTCATCGAGGTGCATATATACTGTAGTGCACGTGAATGGGTTTGTGTACGTTGGGGAAAGTGGGTCACCATATGTGACTGCTGAACAATTTCCAAGAAATGACTCACTCACCTGCCAAAGGGGGCCCAGTTAGACAGCCCAAGCCCACAAAGAACATGGAAAAGCCCATGGAGTTATTGAGCTTGTCTGAGCCAACAAGATCAACCTGCAAGGTAGAAGAAAGAATTCTTTCTGAAACATTTCATATGTAGGGACCTTCAACAGACACCCGTTTCCTTATTGGTGTTAAACAGCTAGTGATTTTGCTCTCTATCAAATGAATAGGAAATCCTTAAAAGTCCTTTAAGCCTTGTTTAGCTCCAAACTTCAGGATAGTTTTAGCTAGAAACACCATTCAACCTTTAAATGGGTGTCAAGGTAGATATAGCTACAACCAAATGACTTTTCAGCCATTTTTGGAATGTTGCAAAAAAAAATCCAGGTAACCAATCCTGTTTTCTAAGGCACATGGCCCTATATATATATATATTATTTTCCCCATGGCTGAAAAACTGACAGGTATAACACCCAGGAGCTCTTCCAGCAGCCAGACATACACAGGGACATGTGATGTTTACAAGAATCAGCTGTCCTTCTTAACAATTTCACAATTACTCTCTTGTCCTTTTGCCCTATTGCCGCCTTCATACAATAACATCGTCAGCTGTTTTTTGATCCCTTCAGATCTTTCTTATGTCTGTGTCTCCGTTTTACATTTAAGATCAATGTCTTAGTGATTCTTTTTACCTTTGACCTTTGAACAAATTTGTATAAACTTGTGTTGTAGGATGGAGACGTTCACCTATTTGTGAGTTGTGTAAGCTGTTAGAAACTGATGGGAGGGACTGCTCTAGTTTGGAAAGGAAAAGACATCCAACCTTTCCTGTTTGATGATTAAATGTGCCAATTTACTTCAGCAGGCTGTATTTGTGGACAGCAGGCAATTGTATGTCACAAAACACCTTTTAAATAGTTTGATGCGTTGACATAGCTATTGAGATCAAATACAGAATGAACAATAAATTTGTGAATTAAAAAAAAAAAATGAATCAGGTTAACTGTACTAACCTCCCTCAAAGAAAAATAACTATCTTTAACAAGCTCTGTGATGCAATTTCTGATTTATTCAATCCAAAACTGAGCTGTGTGAATGTTCAGGAGAGCAGATGCCTCACGAGGCTCTGATATACTGCAGGAGACAGATACTGATGTCTAAAGCCAAAGTAAACAGGCAGAGAGACTTACAAAAGACTCCGAAGTGCTCAACAATCTATTTTCATGATAAACCACCAAAAAGGTATTTTGTTTCCCTTGCATAATGCGTTGTGTCTCAAGATGTGTCAAACATTTTGGAGTGACAGCAGGATTCAGATTTATGCATTGTGCTGGTGGTGGGATCCTTCTTTAGAGTGAATAAAACTTTTAAGTATAAATTGTGGCACGAACATTGACTGACATCGGCAGGCATTATTTAATCTCTGGCTCGCTCTCTGTGTGATATTTTTGCTGTACTTTTTAAATGAAAAATCAAAGAGATCAAATGAGTCGGTAACATTTTTAGGTTACTTCATGCCGTTATTGAGGCCCTCAGGCATGTCCTGTCCTTTGAGACCACACCATTGAAAAATGAAATGTAGCCATATGCCCTTTTCTATGTTCTGGGCTGATATAATCTAAAGATACAGTATACGCGATGACTCAATGTGTTGTTCCACCCATACTGGCAGTTAGGAAACATCTCCAACAGTCCACTGCTGCAACTGCTACTGTTATTTCACCTGATGGGCGAGTCTAACACCATCAAGTTCCGCAAGGTGTAATAAGCCCCAAACGATAGTATTATAAGACCGATGGGGGTGAGACAGCATGAAAAGTAAAAGGAAATCAAGAAAGCGCACTGTGGTACTAAATAAAGATGGCCGAGACTAACATTAAACAGCTCGTACTCAGCTTACTTAAATTACTACTTAAAATGTGCTCTCTGCTCTGCCCTAGAATGTGAAATGACAAAGAAAATGTGAACCATCCCACCAAAAACATTTTAAGTCTGAATTCCTTATGTATACAGAACTAATAGTAGTAAACACATGTTGAATCCTTTAAGAACTGTTGGTTTAGCTGTTTTTATGAGCAGCCCATTTATTTCTAGGCTCACTGTGTTACACTTTGGTCCAGACTCAAATATCACAGCAGCTCTAGGATCATTTGCCAACACATTTTGTAGAGCCTCTCATATTCCCCAGAGGATGAGGTGTAATAACAAAAACCTTTTTACTTTTGACTTCCCCTCTGTTAGGTCAGCGCTTTATCCCTTGAAATATCCAGGGGGTCTATTTGAAAGACTGCAATACATTTGTGTACATATGTTCATTTCACCATCAGGATCAGTTGTTATTGTTTGTTTGTTTATCATTTTTTGAGTGACTCAAGTGAAAATTGCATTTAAAAACTATTTTCTTTAAAGCTATTGACCTGATGATCAAGATTGATTTGTTGGCAGACGTGCTGTTCACTGAATGCAGACCTCTACAGGTAACACACTTAATCAGCAGTACACCTTTAAAACTATTATTTAAAATAAAACATAATCAAATGTCATTGTGAATTTAAGGTAGTTTTGTTTGAATTTGATTTGAAATGTATCAGACAAAAAATGGAGCAAATGAAGGATTTATAACCATGCAGAATGTGTTTCATGTTGTCGGGACAAAAATAATTTTGTTTAGATGGGTGGATCCTTACTAGAACGGGAAGCAGCAAAGCCATATATCCGCCACAGAAAATGGCAAAGAAGACTGCATAGACCATCAGCAGGATGTAGGAGGTTGCCAGAGGGGAGAGCAGGTTGACCAAACCACAGAGGATCAGGTAGGCTTTGTGGTAGTGATATTTATGGAGCAGGTTCCTGTCTGTCACCCAGCCCGAGGCCAACTGGGCGATGGTCTCTGTGATACCTGCAACAATGGAAAAGGTGAACGGATGATTGAATGAGAAACTCAGAAAAAGTGCAACTATATCTGAAAAGAAACATTGAAAAATTAACACAAAGCAATGGAGATAAAGACAGCATTTCAAATTCTGTAATTCAGAGAAGGGATTCATGAGAAAAAGCCACGAAGAGGTCACAATGTAAAAGAACAGATTGAAAGTTCAGTCATTTCCAAAGGCAGTTTGATAATGGGCAACTATGATACATTACGTACCATTTTAACATTGGACACATAAAAAAGGGCTGTGTATCATTCTTTTTGCTTAATGTTGAAGAGAATAAATGCAGGAATTTAGGGACAAAACTAACACAGTTGGAATCCTATTGAAACAAATAAAGTTTTTACTGGCAGCTCATTTTAAAAAGAGTGTTGATGGGGCTTTCTATTTTCAGCAGATTACTTTTTTGTTTGTCTTTGGGTAGATTAATTTACTAAAATGTTAATTTTAAATAAATTCATGATGTAACTTAAATCTTCATCTGGTCTACTACACAGTAGCTGAACCAGATGTGCTCCTGAACAACAGCTGTAAAACTTAATCTTTTTCAGAGTAGCTGACATGTAAACCATCAGTGCACACATACCATTGTGCTCCTTAATTAAAACCAAGATCAACAAAGATTCCATTTCACATTTTCTTTTCGAATTGAAGAGCTAAAGATGGCTTTGTGAAGTCTGAACATTGAACATTGCATCATTACCACCACCATCATCATGTATTTAAATTCCCATAGGGATACAAGTATTCATTAATTAAATTTGATAAATAATTCATTCTCCAGCTATAAATGTAACCCCCCCTCAAACTAATTGGTTTCCTTTCCGGGGTTGGGATAATCCTTCGGGGATTGGTACAGAGTTGTAAACACTGCTGTAGTTGGTCAGAACCACTAATCCTGTTTGTAAATGAGAACCAAATGTGACTACACAACTGCATAAATCTGCATCATTATCAAGTGTAAAGCCGTTGTTCCTCCTCTCTGACAGAAAAGTGATGTGTTCGTCTGTCAACATCTGCCTCATCACACCCAGAAACTATTCATTACGCACACCACCTTTTTGGATTGATTGTTGGCTCTGCGTGTGTATGATGACTGGGCAGATATGGACCGCTCTCTGCTGAGGTCAACTGGAATGCGATGCCATGCAGAAGCTGCAGTGGTGTATTGACTGTCGCAGGAATAGCTACAAGCAGGCAGCGCTTAGCCACTAATCAATGAAACAAACTGGTTCTGTGCAGATCAGAGTAACCCATCCTTTGCACGGCCTCTGCAGCACAACTCTTACAAGCAGCATCCACAAATACAGGGCTCCAAACCCCAACACACCGTGTTGAATGTGAGTCTGGATGGAGCATGCATGCTTTCACCGATTATTGTCAACATGTCAAAAGATGATATGTTATGAAAATGGACCATGCCTGGATAAGTAAAAAATGAAACATTTCATTAGCGAACACCTCCGCTCCCCTCACGGGATCTAAAACGTTTCTTTTCACCGAGGTTAGAAAGATGACATGAGGCAGCTGTGCAATGTTTATGTGTCCTCTTTCAGTGACCTAAGATACGTCCTGGGGTGTCCCCTGCTTGCGTACAGACAAGTTGTGGGTTGTTTGTGTGTTTTAGCCCCAGCAGGTTGGTTCAGCCCTGCAGCTGTTCTGTTCAAACTCAGTACAAAGCTGTTTAAATTTGGCCCCTCCAAGTAGCAGCACATCAAGCAAAGTGCATCAGGGACATTGGTTCAGTCGTTTCCCTCCGCTGTGCTTCAGGTAAAGAGGTTTTTCTGGTTGGAGCTTGATTGGATGAAGTGTTTCATATTAAAAACACCTCTCGCAGTCAACAAGAGCAAAATGTTCCTCCCAAATGACCCAATACAACATTTACCATATCTCAATTTGCCTGACCATTAACAGCCCCTGGGGGGTGGAATACAAGACTCAGAGTCATGCAAATCTATGCGCTGTCTGTAGGGATATTTTGTTATAAGGTTAAAAGCAAAACTTTTATAATGGGCATGTTGATTTTCCCAGGTTTCCCTCAGCCATTGCTGGTTTGCCTTGCCTCTTCCTTTTTGAACACATTGCTGCCTCAGTACTCTGCAAAGTATCAGCCGCTTTAGAGCTGGACTCCAACAAAACTGGGAGCCTCTACTTGTCCACACGCCAACAACTTTACTCAGTTAGCTGTTGCTTAGCGACTCCGGTTAGCCCGAGCGGTGGTGGCTGAGAACTGACGAGCACACTGACCCGGCTGATAGTGGCCTCTCCTTCCCCTCAGCCAAGTCGATGACAACGCTGGGTCAGAAAAAGAGGGACAGCGGGACACGAGGATTGTGGCTTTGTGATGCGGGTGGCACCCCATGTTTAAAGCTCTGTCTCTTTTTCTCCCTCATTACAGTGCACATGACCAGTGAATGTGACAGAACAAATGTGTCTAAGTCAGAAGAAATTTCCACTCCTGTTGCATGCTGGCATTAAGCTTCTGAGTTAACCCGAAAAGCTTTGGAAAAAATTTAAACAACTTCGTCCTTTACGTTCCGATATCCATTACAGCAGTATTATCTGACCCCAAGCTTTGGCTTCATACCTTAGATTGTGTTTCCTGTAATGTTAAAAAAAGTATTTTCTGTTTCTTTCTAGAAGACAACTGTTGTCTTACATAACAGGCTAATAAAATGATGCATCATTTTTCCAGAGATTCTTCATACATGTAAGGAAAATGGCCAAAGGTGAAGTATGATGCTGAAAATGTAGTGTACAGTGCATATTTCAGCTGGGTGACACGGCAGTATCCCAAGAGCCGACCGGTGCCATTACATGTCAACACCCCAAACATTATTCTTGTTTTAGCCTCCTGTGTGATTTGCAATAGGTTTTAAACTCTTTCTCTTTACATTCAAAGCTCTGAGTGGCCTATCCCCATCTTTTTTTGAGAGTGCTCATTGTCCTCTTTGTCCTCGTAGAGCTCATTGCTTCCAAGCAGCCGGCCTGCTTGTGCTTCCCAGAGACTCAGGGTCCTGGATCATGGGGAACAGAATATGTTTGTGTAAAACCTGCCTCATTGAGATCTAAATAAAAAGGTGCTGTCTTTACATTTCAACCTTTGATATATTCAGTGTTTTTATTAAACTGTTTTGTATAATTTACAACAATTTACTTGCGATTTTCGATTTTTTTTTCTCAAAGCACTGAAGTACCTCAGGAAAATATTTCTAAAACTATTCTTGTCAAGACACAGATAAAATTTTAAACTGAAATAAATAATGATATAGACACGTAGAAAAAGTATTTTCTTCTCATGATTATTTCTAAAAGCCAAAATGGCCCACTTGCTAGGTGCTAGGATTCTTATCTTAAGCAGATTTCAACAAAAGGCAATAATGTTTGGGCTATCAGCTCAACTGATGAGCAAGAGGCATATTATAAAACAGAAGTGTGTAAATGCAAAACTGTTTTTCAATTATTCACTAGGCCCGATCACGTACTAACAGACTTACATGCACATGTGGTGGCTGGTCAAAATGTTAATACTGTTTTCTGGTCATATGGAGGGGCCTCATCAATGGTATACTGCTGAATCCACCCGCCCTGGCCAGTGGGCCAAAGTTCAGCTTTTATGTAAGAACATTCATTACATAAGACTGCAGAGTCTGAGCAGCTCACAAATAATTAATGCCAAAAAGTTGACTGAGCACTTTGCATCACTTCTAAGATCCAGTCTGAAAGAAACCTGGTGATACCCTTTCACTGTTTATGCAAAGCTCTGCTAGTCATATCCACAAATGCCGGCAAAGTCCATTGTCTGTAAAACAAAGACTCTGTCAGAACTGTAAAGTATGTTCTTCACACGATGACTCTCATCAAAACTAAAACAGACATAAAGGAGAAATACTAAATGTAACCCTTGCAATTAATACACGTGAGATGTTAGGTTCTGAAAGCAGTACACGACTTTTGCATTTTTAAATTGTCATTGGGTGTAACCTCAGGCTTCATGTTGTTTAAAGTTGTCTTTAAAAAAGACATCCCAGCATTGGGGGGGGGGGGGGTTGACTGTTACTCTTCAGATTCAAACTTTTATCCAAATAGGGGGAAAATATATACACTGTTAGTTTTAATAGGACTAAGATTAGTGAATGGTGTACATGATAATTCACCATACAATGGCTGACATTGCAGTGTCTATGTCTGTTATTTATAATATATAATCTATAGGTTTACATGATTATTGTGTAACCATATTATCTTGTTATTAGCATGTCAATTAGCTTGTAATTATTTAATCTGAGAGAAATTTTCTTTAAACTACCTAATTCATACTTAGCAGTTAAAAAGACCTCCAGAAGCTTTTGCTAACGTTATTTAAAGGTTTTACACTTTTTAATGAGCAGAAGGACCCATGCAATATGAGAGTGCTTTATAAACTCTAAAATATGCTGATAGTGTTTTGCGAGGCATAGAAATTCAGAAAGGAGCAAAGATCTTTACTTTTTTTTTTTCTACAGTTAAAAAATAATTTGGATCTATTGTCTAATGTAAACCTTACCTGCAACAGAGATTATAAAGGAGGCATCCATTGCATCGATGTCCAAAGTTCTGGCTCTGGCAGACAGGTGGAAATAGGGGATGAAGTAGGCAAGCTGACTGAAGACCAAGGACCAAGTGTAGATGCAAAAGAATGGGTCCTTCAGCAATGAGAAATCCAGAATTTTGTTTTCTGTGACAGTCACCTCACTTGGCACACTAGCGTGTGAGGAAACGCCAACAATGGTGGAACCATTCATACTGCTATTAAGCTCTGCTGGACTGTCTAAAGATGTGGGCTTGCATTGGTCCGAGTCATGGTGGGGCTCATGACCATTAACACCATTGAGGACCAGTCTGGTTAGTTCAGGATTCATTGACTGGTCTTCGGGTCCCTGAGTACATTTCCCACCCTGGTTCTCTGTGTCCCTTTGAGGTGTTGGGGAGGGCTGGATAGAATCTGATTTGGAGACACCATTGGATAGGTTGGAGGAACCGCTCATGCAGCTCTTGGAGTGTTCCTTCTCTGCAGAGCTCTTGATGGAAATGGCAGGGCTTTTTTGGATGGGTGAAGAGGTAGGGTTTGACACAGGCCTCACTTTGATGGGCCGCAGAAGCATCCCAGTGGCTATGAGGTTCAGCATGAGGCCACCGAGAATCAGCATTGCCCCTAAAGGTAGCAAAGAGAGCTCAGGACCTAAAGGCCTTCTGATACACACATACAGTCTCGTTTCTAGAATAATTTGGCCTGCCTACCTTGCCAAGCGTATCTATCAAGAAGGAGCTGGGTGAATGGAGCAAGGGCAAAGGTCAATCCCATCCCTGAGCGCCCAATCGCATATGCTGTTGCCAGCCTTTTTCTGAAATACAGTGCTGTTACCACAGAGAATGACTGGTATAGAAGTGCAAAGCCCATTCCTGAGGAGAGAAAACAGAGTTGGCATGATTACATTTCATCAGTCGCAAAATTATTCAAACAGCCTCTCCACTGAGCTGTATGGCGGTACTCCAGGAGCAGCATCATCATCAAACTATTTTCAACTTACAGAATGTTTTAACTTACCAACTATCAGTCCCATGCTGATGTAGAGGAACACTACGCTGCTAGCAAATATGCTCATGAGGAAGCCTCCACTAACTAGCACTGCCCCTGTGATTGAGGTCACTCTGACTCCCACTTTGGCACAGGCCACCGAGGCAAGGGGTGCTAAAGGTGCAAAGGGAAACAAACAAAAAAGTTAAACTCCTGTAAATAAGTTTCAGCCTTAGTTGCTCTGAATGTGATGTGAAACAGCAAATAGTTAAGCCAATCGCAGCAAGGTAATTTACCTTTTATAGCCATTTAATGTTCACATATTTAATGATAAAAGTGTAATTATCTAAAAGGGCATATAATCATCATAATTTTTGCTTGGTCACATACGCTGTGGTTCCCCCTCCCCTGAATGCCAAAACAGGCAGATTCTATGCTGTACTATGCTCTGACTTACTTGAAACAGTGTTGTCAATAAGCCTAGATCAGTAGCAGTGGTTATTTGAGAGCTTTATGTATTAAAGTCAATAAAAAAATGTATGTATAAATACAGTACTATATATAGCCTAGCATTGTGGTAAATGTACACTATGGCAAACACAAGTATAATCCAGCCAAAGAAGTGAGAACAGAGGGTGCATTTTTCTTTCTTTTTTAAATCAAACCTCCGGACAGACGCAGACTTGACATGATAGATCCAATCCAGCTGATGCTCTCTGCGGAGCCTCCAAACTCATCTTGGAATGCCACAAAAAAGATTCCAAAGCTTTTCAGCGTGCCCATCACAAGCACATTCACCTGCACATACACAGAAATGAGAGTACACTGATATTTGTACAGTTCACTTGCCAAATGGATGCGATACAGTGATAACTAGTGCTGCTCAATGTTTCCTGCTCATGCTGACTAATACACTCTCTGGTCTAATCAAGTGCAATGCTAACATAATACTGCGTCTCCACTTCCTTAACCAACTGTAATGAGCTCCTCTGCATGCCAGGATATCAACAAGTTGAGGGGTAAAGTGAATTTGATATTGCCTAAGTTCCATAAGTAAACATAAAGCAATTGAGGAAGAGACAGACAAGCTCTAATAACATACAGTGCCCACAACCTTGGGTTGGGAAAGAGATAGGGGCCTTTTTACATTATTTTCAGACGATCAACAATCTGAGATTTTTGGAAAATCCTGATAAAATGATCTAAAACTAAATAAAATTAAGTAGTCACTTGAAGATAAATGGTTATAAATAAGTGAGGTTCACTTACAAGGAAACAATGCAGTACAACCATCCAGCCCCAACCTCCATCTGGAGGGTCTTCATACTGGATCTCTTTCTCCTTTTCCTTTTTTGAGGTCATGGCATCCTTCCTGAACAGATTCATGATGGCCTTCGTTTCACTTGGATATAAAAAGAAAAAAGAAAAAAAAACAGACACAAATTTTATTTTTAAACTTATACCATTGAAAGTGTAAGTCAATAGCTCATATTCAAAATGATTTACCAATATTATGCTATAGTACAGAACAAAACTTTGTATAAACTTTATAAGTCATTCAGCCATGTAACTGATCAGTTACAGTAAAACCAAGCCTGGTTACAGTTCCACCTCTTTTGGCCTTATTACAGCTACTGCAACGGACCAAATGGCTTAACACTGTCAACATTAAGTTTTTCTGTGTCACAGAAAGAGCAAATATTTAAACTTGTATGTCTGTAAGCTTCCAGTTAGCACGAACGGCATGTTGGGCTGATGATGTTTTAACTCTGTTGTCATTCGATTTGGCAGAAAAAAATACAATGAAAAAGCAATCCCGTTCCACGAAGGAAATGTAATGAGTATTGCAGAAAACTTTATGGAGAAATTCTGGTTCTGCGAAGGACCATCTCAACCACTCTGCATAATTTTCACAGAAAAATATGAATGATTTACTATAGTGATAAAAAAAAAAAAAAGAAATATAATTAATTGATTTAAAGATATTTTTCAGATTTCTGTCATATTGCCACCATTTTTATAAACCTACAAGTTATTCATGTTCAAGAAAACAAAAATCTAAATGAAAAATGTAGGTCAATAAACGTGGTTTCCATGCTCTTAACAACACTTAATGTACCCTGAAAAGATTTTCACTATTGCCAGCACTACTAAATGGAGGGGAGGAAAAAGAGTTAGTTTGTGAACAAAAACAATAGAGATTACAAATTTCTGCCTCTATAAAAAAGAATACACAAAATGTGTTTTCATGTCGAAAAAGGCTGCCTCGGTGTTTCAACACCAAAGCAAATTCCTTGTATGTGAAAACCTACTTGGCAATAAACCTAATTCTGATTCTGATTCTGATTCTGATGTAAAAAATGTCATGCAAGTTGAGACTTCAGCAGTTATTTCCTAATGTGAAATAATTATTTACTTTAGCTGTGAAGAGATATAAAAGCAACCTGGTAACAACTGGATTGTGAGCCGGCTGTACTGGGATCTGCCTAGCAACTGGTGATATTTCACCATATACTAATTACTCTTAATCTAAATTGGTTCATTGCAAGTCTTCAGCATGTGTCAGCAGATACACAATTGGCTTTAACATGACATACATTAGACTGTGCTATGTTTTCAGCACATCATGGTTGTATAATCTTACCAGACTGAATGCTATGAAACATGACTGAGGTGGAGCTTGGGCAATAGAAGAACTAATTGAATCTTTGTTTTGATCAGGCTCAGTTTATTTCAGAGTCGTGCTTTGCTGACAGACCTGGATGATATTTTCACTTGGGTTTTTAAAACAGGTAACTATTCGGTCTGCAATATTTTATCACACCGCTGTAGTCTGTTTACATTCCTTGGGACTTTGCTCTCATCTCATTTGTCGCATTCTCCCCAAGACATCCTCTGCACACTGTGGAACTGACCTCTAGAACTGGCCAGCGCTACAGTCCAAAGATGAAGGAACAGTGTTGCGCCGATGAAGGCGTGCTGATTCTGCAATAAATGTTTTTTTAAATCCTTTATCTTAAAAGACGGCTTGGGAAAATCTGACCTGTGACCAAGCCACTCAGCTGGGTGAAAATAAAGACGGAAATCCTTTCAGTGGTGTCTCCTTGAAATAGGAGCAATTTTCTGCTGTACCTGAGGTATGAAACTATGTGGTATCAGATCAAATATTAATCATAAGCTCTCAGGAAACAGACCGATGCATAGAGGATCAAGTATAATGCAGAAGAATGAGCACCTTTAAGAAGAGACATTATGCTTAATAAAAAACAATGAAAATTTTGGTGTGAATGTAGTATTCCGTCGATTTGAGGGTTTACCTGTAGGTGAATGTTACAACAAGACACCTCTGCTAATCTCCACTGTGTTGTGTCACAATGCACACTACGCCTGTGCGTATTATGCCACTTTGATTGACTGAAAGGGTTAAGTCATCCTAAACATATCAACACAGTTCTGAAGATATAGTTTCACTGTGGGAGAAACTCAACAAGGTTTGTGAGACAACATGCAAACTCCAACAAAACAACAAGCTAATACCTACGGGTGACTTTACAACATCTCCCTCAGTGACAATGGTGCAAACCATTTAAATTAGATTTCTTTTAAAACATCTCTTTAAAAAAAGAGCACAGAGCTTGATCACACATGAGTGTGATATACTGAGTTGCCATTGTCTTTATGAAATACATCATAAGCTGATTTTACCTTAGCCTGCCTCTATTATTCCTGCTGTCAACACAGGCCTTAACTTTGCCAAAGATGACCGAAAGGAAAGTCAACTTGTAGGAAGTTCTGTAGGTACTGTAATAAAAATGGGGTTTTTTTTCCGCCATACTTTTGCAAATCTGCCTGACTTAGAGGCGTATAAGGAGGCAGGACCAAATTAGACCGAGCACAGAGCGGATTAAAAGTGGAATGAATTGGGCCAGTGTAGTGCGGGGAAAGTATTTCCCCTCAATGTGGTGTTAACAAATTGTCCACAAAGTGCTTGAGTGCATGTTCGTGAATGTGAGTGGGAGGGTTTGAGCACTAGTTGATTGGCTTGTGGAATTACCACCATGTTACCACACACTAATACCAGAATATCCCCTTATCAACTTTCAAAGAAATTTTCAGCTTGCCTGATTTTAGGATTCTTGTAAATTTGCTCGGTGAATGATATCCTCCAAAATCTTTCCATATTTGACCTTTTTATTTTTAAAGATCCATAAATAAAACATTTCCAGTGAGAAACTTTCAACTATTATTTTTTCTACACTGTCTCATGGCCTGATTTATTGGTCTTTACTATGAATTCTGTCTACACTGCGGAAACTTAAAGCTGAAGTCATAAATGTCCGGTGCTCAGTTGAAACTGGGGCAGAGAGCTAAGTGGCTCATCTTTCACTAATCCACACAGCCATAAAATAACAGTTTGAAATTTGAGTATGGTATCAGTTAGCTCTTATAGAAAAAGATCAATGGACATATTACACAGTAAACTAAGTATAACTACTGCTTCAAGAACAACTTATAGCCACAACAGTGTTGGTATGGTGACATGGTCATTTGTTACCATAACTGTTAAAACATATTTCAAGCATCATGTTGTAAAGACCATTTACTTTCTTAAACCTTTGCTGTGTGCCATCACCTAATGGAGATGGATAATCTTCTTGATATTATAAGGCGTTTCATTTTATAACCTTCACCCTGGGGTAATGGAACTGATTTATCACTGTCCAGATAATGCAGACATCTCCATAATCGATCACGATTCTATGAAAATTGTACCACGATTCATGGCTACTTAATGGCCTTTACAGAGATTGACAACAATGTAGTAATTTACATACAGATATAGTTATTGATGCTTGGGACATCAATAGTAGGTTCAGAAGTATGGCCAAAGGTTTTGACTCTGGCCCAACAGGGGTCCTTCAGTTGCACAGCTGAAAATCAAAGTTTCAGAATCAACTTAAAGGTTATCCCGTCTTGTACACACACGATTGATGAGGGCTGAACTGATTACGCAGTCTAACCAAAAAAAAATCTGTGCATCAGTGCAATAATGCCCCAGACTCATTTATTGAAATGTCAACATGAAAAAATAACAAAGACGTGGAGTTTGTTTTCAATCATTTAACAACATTCCTGGCTTCATTTGCATTTCATGTAGAATAGAGAATGTCAAATACTGCATAAGTTAGGATATAAAAGTTTTTATCTTAATGCAACAAAAATGTTCGCTGTGTGAGAAAAAACAACTTCTGAGAGCTGAAGCTGTTCTGCAATTTCTGTCAAGTAGGATACCCCAAACAAAGGTTGATACTAACCCTATGAAATTTAGAAGCACACTCAGGAAACCACTGTCTTTTAACTCAGTTCATCAAGTTCTGTCGTTAAGAGAAAGAGAAAAATCTGAACACAAAAAAGCTTTTTTATTAAAGTTTTTTTTTTTAAATGTATGTTTGACTATTCTAAATGAAGTGACTGGTCTCCACATCTTACAAAATGTTTACTGTCTGTTGTTTAAAGGTGAAGGGCTGCTATGCAGTGGCAAACATGGCCCTGTTCCATCTTTAAAATATGTAACTTTCAACATTCGAGGTGTTTTTAAAATCTCTTGCAAAGCATTGCATGCTGGGATGATCGTGTGTCTGAAAAGCTTCAACCTTTGAGAAACACCCCCAGAATGCTTCCCTGTGTTGCATTCTAATGGAAAGGACCTTTACTTACGGTAAATACGATAATAATCACCTGCAATATAGATCCTCACATATGCTTTTCCCAAGTACGATAGCAACTATGTTCATAATTGCTGCTCAAAACCAGCAACCGTCATTATTACGTGATGAGGTGTGCTGTGTGAGACTGTGGGTGTGGTTTTGGTGTGCTCTCTCGGTTGGATGGGTGTGGCATTGTGGAGGAGCGTGCTGTACACCTCACACCTGTCAACATCTGGAGCAGTATTTAGAGGCTGGCCTCCTCTGTGCTCACTGCCCAATGGTCACCGATTTGTTGGAAGATCCGCCGGTGTTCTTTCGAGAAAAACCTAAAAATACTACCACTTTTGAGATTATCTTCTGCTGCCTTACCTGTGCTCTTCAACTCTACCTCACCTTTTTTCCCTCAGTTTCAAATGAAAAGTCATTTTCTTCTTCCCCTTATGTCTATGCCTCTTAACACGAGGGGCCCAATCAATAATCTACTCATTTTAAACAGAAGCTGGAGTTTTGATAGCAGCACACTTTTCCCAGATTATTTAAAAATATACTACTTTTGGTGTGAAATGAGCTGTCTGGTTTTCTGCGTGCTGCATTGTAGTTTTCATCTGGAATTGAGTATGCGTTTCTGCATAGCCTATCTCTCACAGGCATATCTTGTTTGCCTATTCTGCTCAAGATTAAGGATGACAAATTGCAGTGGCGGGCCGTGCATTTTACACCTAGGCCTTCAGTAGTCCTCCGTCTGAATCAATTCACCCCTCAATAACTATTTTATGGTTATAGAAATCATCTTATTATGTAGAAATACAGTAGGGATGTCCCGATCCAGCTTTTTGTATTAAAATTGATTTTTTTTTTCTACTTACTTAGTTGACAGACTTATGTTGAACAGGGATTTACTCGTATAACAACTAAAGTTTACACAGACCTGTGGGTTACAGATGCTAATGCTAATGCTAATGCTCGGGTGGGATCGGACTTTTAAAAATAAATGTATCTGGCATTTTCTCATGCCGGCCGATACGATCCAAATATCGGATCAGGACAAGCCTAAAATACAGTCTAAAGATCTGGGGTGCACAAGTCTTCTACTCCTGCAGCTACAGCTGCACCCCCCCCCCCCCCCCCCCCCCC